TTTCTCATAGTTCACATACGCCAGGCAAAGTGGCAAATTGTACTCTTCAGTCTTCTGTACAATCTGCCGCAGGGTATGTATGTGGTCTATGGTACTGAAGCCTTTTCGGAAACCGGCTTGTTCGGGAGGCTGGAAGTCGTCGAGTCTCCGTGCGAGACGATTCGTAATGACTCTCGAAAACAGCACGTAGACGCGGCTCAGAAGGGAAATCGGTCTGTAGTTCTTCAAGAGAGCGTTGTCGCCTTTCTTAAAGAACAAGACTACCGCACTTCTGCTCCACGCCTCTGGAGTAGTGCCACCATGGAGGACGGAATTGAAGAGCTTTTGAAGGACTTCCAGTACCGGTGTTCCACCCGCTTTCAGAAGCTCTGCTGTAATTCCATCCTCGCCTGGGGCCCTGCCGTTTTTAAGGTGCTGGAGAGCCATTCTAATCTCGCTTAGACTGACGTCCGGGATATCATCGGAATAGTGTCGGATAAGACTTGCTCTTGGATCGTTACTCACACTTGCGTGTGGCTTCAACGATGATGTGTACAGCTGCCCATAGAACCTCTCAATCTCACTCAACATCTCAGGTGTCCCGGAAACTATGCTGCCACATTCAGTCTTCAGCTTTGACAGTTGGCTCTTTCTGGCAGACAGATCTCTGGCAAAGACTTTGGAGCCCTGGTTCCGCTCGATCGCTTCTTTAATACGAGCAGTATTAAAGTTGCGTAAGTCTCGCCGCATGCATTTGGAGATCTGTCTGTTCAGTTGCCTGTATGCTGTCAAATCTGTTGACGATTGCAGCCTCATCTCCCGTCTAACAGCCATGAGATTAAGAGTGTGATCGGAGAGTTTTTGTGTTCTTCTGCGGTGGGTCTTGCAGAACTTAGCTCCGACCGCATGGACAGTTTCCACGAGCTTGTCATTCATATCGTCCACTGCATTGCAATCTTGTAGGCACTGAAAGCGGTTGTGTAACTCGAGCTGAAAGTTTTCGGGATTCTGGATTAGAGCACGAGGGGGACGGAGCGTTGACTTCATTAGACGAGACCTCTCCAACTTAACGTTTAGGTTCAGTGTGCCTCTAACCATTCGGTGATCGCTGCCAGTTTTCACCCTTGCGATCACTGAGACATCACTGAACAGTTGGCGTCTGGTCGTCATAATGAAGTCAATCTCATTTTTTGTCGAACCGTCGGGGCTCGACCAGGTCCACTTCCTGTGGGGCCGCTTCTGGAAGAAAGAGTTCATCATAAAGAGTCCCTCTTTCTCCATAAAGTCGGCCAGCTGCTGGCCCCTTCGGTTCCATTGCCCTACTCCAAATTTCCCTAACTTCAGCTCACCGCTTTCTCTTGTGCCTAGTTTTGCGTTGAAGTCTCCCATCACCACCGTGTAGTGGGTTTTGGAGGAATGCATGGCTTTGGAAATATCCTCATACATTTCCTCTACCTCCTCATCGGGATGTGCCGAGGTTGGTGCGTAAACCTGTATGACCTTCAGCGAATACCGTTTGGTGATTCTGAGTATCAGGTACGCGACCCTCGTCGACACACTCCCAATCTTTACAACGTTGTTGACGAGAGACTTGTGGACGATAAATCCGACACCTCCTTGGGACAGATGGTCGCCCTCCCGGTGATAGAACAAGTTGCCGGATTCGAGAATCACCGTGTCCTCCCCCTCTCTTCGGACCTCGGATAATCCTATAATACTCCAGCGCAACTTGTCTATCTCTTCTTCCAGCTCCAGGATCTTCACGTCAGTCCTCAGTGTGCGTGCGTTAAATGTTGCCAGGTCGAGTCGTCGTAGGTGGCAACCGAACCTCCACCGGAGATTCTTAGCACCCCCTGCCCCGCCGTTACCATGGTCGCCACCGTAGCCAGGAATAGCGGGGCCGCCGGGGACTGGGGGCCGTCTATTTGTGTAATTGTTCATGGGGGGTATATTGCCATAGTTGCCACGCTTGGCGAGCGGGTTGGCAACCGCAGTTTTTTTTTGTCGTACAGTTGCTGTTATCAGGAAGATGCTGCTGCCCATCTCCTGCCTGTCTCCCTCTGACGCCTTTTACGACACCCACGGTGACGGCAGATATGGGGTAGTGGATATTCTTAACCGCCACTACACGGCATCGCTTACTACGGTTCAAGCGTTACGTAGTAAATAATAGAACTACGCAGTAGAGTTGAGATCGCAGAGTAATGATATAGTCTGGCAAGAAAAGCAGTTCCGACAAATTCTTTTTACTAGTTTGGACATTATTTTTATTTCTGCTCTCCTAATGATTTCTTATATTTACGCGAACACTACGCATTGGTAAATCTACTTTACGGATTTTATCACGTTTAATTTATTTGATACCCACGGTCACAGGGTACTGAGGTGATACGTCCCAACGTCAATGTTAACTAGAAGTACCTTCAGATTTTTTATTATTATTTATGGTTCGATCTACGTAGAATGAACTTACTGCTCTCCAAACTGGTAGACACGACAACTCTGCAAGCTTAGTAAATATTTTTAAACCTTTTCTCAACTTCTTCGAAAAACATTATGCCTAAGTTGCTTTGTACTTTATTACCATGAACTTTTTTTTTTAAATCAACTATTCGTAACAATTATAATTTATTTGTAGACAATGTTGCTTATATATATTCTTAATATATATAAATTAGGTGTCACGTTGTTTGTCCGCGATGGACTCCTAAACTACTAACCGATTAATAATTGCACACCGTGTGTGGATAGTTTTTTTGTCCATGAGTGACCCACAATTTTTTTTTGCGAAGTTAAGGGTTTTTATATTAAGGGACATGACAAACGGTCGTCGAAAAGGGCAGAACAACGTCTGCATGGCAAGCTAGTATATATATATATATATATATATATATATATATATATATATATATATATAATACCATACTTATCCAACATACTTTACTTGCGTACTAATACAACATGAGAACATGCTATAAAATGCCTACTTGAACAATAAATTAAAATGATTTGATGTCAGACATCCATGATAGGGGTCGCGTGACCCGCACCACATGAAAGCATTTATGAACCGGGGAGAGGTAAGTGTCGGGACCGAGCAAAGACCGTATGCGCTGTAATTTGTACGATTAAAAATATTTAACCGTGATGGTAGATGCACAGATAGTGTTACTTACTTCGCATTAAAAGCTACCGACAATCGTCTATTTTAGAGGCATTTTATGAATATTATAGCCGATTTTTATTATAATTAAATTATTTTTACCAGTTGCCAAAACTTTACCATTACTTTTTTAAATATTTTATTTAGGGTTTTTATTTTCTTTATTGTTTTATAACTCAGTGATATGCATCGCATTTTCTCACCTTATTTTAGTCCATCATTCTAATTTTTTTAATAGAGTACGGGTGACAAACGAGCACACAGTTCACCTGATGATAAGTGGACACTGTGGCCCATAGACAATCTACATTTAACCTCGAATATGAATCAAAATGCAGATTCACTACCACCCCTGACGACAAAGATGGTATGCCTCAATTCCAGTAAAACGGTTCTTCGGTTCTCTACACTCTCCATACGAATTCTAATTCTAGCTAAATGAAATATTTGAAAACATTCATACATTTTTTTTAAATTAGAATAAGGGTAAGAACCGGGCACACAGTCCACCTGATGGTGAGTGGTCGTTGTGGCTCATAAACATCTACATCTATCCTCAATTACGAATCAAAATGCAGTTAAGTTGTCACCCGTGAAAACTAAGATGGAATGGCTTGTTTCCAGAAAAAAAAGTCTCCGGTTCTCTACATTGGCTATGAGAAATACAGCAGCGTTAAGCTGCTATTTAACGCTGGTATTCTGTGAGAGCGTGATCCTTCCCGGTCGAGCCAACCCATTCGTGCTACAACTTTTTTGTTTATAAAATTATTAAAAAGCAAATTTCTCTTAATGTTCTTTAAACTGCATCGGCATTCTTTTTGCGTTGATTTAACAGAAAAATGTAAAGAAAACTTACCATTAGTTATGTGAGCTGGTTCCTCAACTTTATCAAAATAAATCTACAATTGCGAAAACATAGGTAAATTCAAATAAAATTACATGCGTAACGGATGTATGACGATATTTCCTAAGTCAGTAATGGTTCAATTTTTTGCTTGGGCGACTCGATTCACGTAGCTTAAATTTACAAGCTTACGGGCTTTCTACGTCAGAATGCTACACACAAACATGCTCTCATTTTAGAATGGTTTTTGTTTCTATAAAACTGAAATGACAGACGAAATTAGTCTACCTAAAGTCCGAGTGACAACTGCAATCCAGACATCTGCAGCCAACTTTACACAGAAAAGGTTAAAGAAGTGTTGCCACCTTTGGGGACTAAATCGTAATGCTTCACAGCCTGTAACTGCACTAGTATGTCTATAACTTTCAGACCAGCATACAGCAGTATAAGCACTGCTATATTGCGCAAGAAATAGATAGTTTTTTACCGAATATATTAGACGTGCTCTTAATACATACCTATCTCTTACGCCTACACCTCCGATTCCGGTTCCGGTTCCGACAAACCAAACTTAAATTACAAAAAATTCGGTATCGGTACCACCTCCACTTCCTCCATGACCACTTCCGTAACATCCCTAGCACAGCTCCTGCTGCTGCTGACGAGTTAACCGAGTTAACCTAGCTTGGACCCATCGTCGATTTACCACAAACCCTTTACAGAAAATCGTATCTAAATCTGTAAACCGTTTTGGAGATAAATGGGAACATTCATTTACACACACAAGGAAACATATAACCTTCTTCCAATTCTCTAATTTAACTCAAATTAAACCATCCTTGTCTGTACGTCCGTCATGGATAAAAATCTTATGATATGAATAAAAATTTATAATTGTAAACCAAATATTTATAGTTATATTATCTGTTTTTATAGTCTACTTGGCCATGACATAAGATGTATGCTTTTAAGAACAGTTGTAACAATTTTTTTATTTTCTTGTGTATATTGTTAATGAAGCAAGAAAAATTAGCTATGGCTGTTCATAAGTATATTCATCTGAAAGACGCGTCGGAGTACTGTAGACGACATGTACTCCCGTCCGTGTTTCTTGGCAGACATGTCTTGGATACCAACTCGCACGTTTTACACTTTTCTAGATTAGATCTGCCATATAGTTGTTCTATTAGCGTCAGGTATGTATTGTGATTTTAAATTATAATTTTTCTTTAGCTACATAACTAAAATTAAGTGTATTTATATAAATTCAAATTCAAAATATTTATTTTAAGTTGAATGTTACATTTGGCGTTAATTTAAAAGATGGTATAACTTACAACTTAACCATCCTTTTCGAGTGTTACAATAATAGGTATGTAACTTACATAACTATATTGAATGATGTTGTTAGTTATAATGAAATAATAAATAAAACTAACAAACAAATATTAAATTACATAATAAGAAAAAACTCCCTCTCAGAAATGAGGGGAGGCCTGTGCCCAGCAGTGGGATATATATAGGCTGTAACTTTACTTTACTTATAATAAGAAAATAAAGAAATATTATTTAGCAAATGTTCTAATTCAACCCATAAACATGGTAAAACATGTAATGACCATGTTACAAGAACCAGGCCAAATATTTCATGGTTGTAGCCTCAGATCATGCATAAACAAGGGTAATGTGCCTTAAGTTCGTATTTTTTGGCGCCCAAGTGTCGCCTACTTATTTTACCTACACAAAAATATGTATGTTTGAATTTATTTCTCCTATCCGTTTTATACCAGCACCATTATTTATTTCTACTCATGCAGAATTAGGGCGTTGTTTTATCCTATAACCACCGGCCTATGGCCAAATCCAAAAAAAATGTTGCTATTATATAGCTTATGAATGTGTCAATAATTTTTTGGATTTGATTCAATAGCGAATGTTTGGATATTATCTAATTACTCGTATTATCTTTTCTTTACTTTTTCAATATCTAAGTGAAATCATAGCAAAATAATAAAGTGATGAAAAATAAAAGACAGAGGCCGGTCAAAGAGTATGCTTACTGATATGAATTTCATAAAGACTTATCCAACAAAAAAGAGATTAGAAGAAAAACGGGGGATATTTGCCACGCTCAGAGAACAGTTGAATCGAGTGATAAGCGAACTGCAGTTTCACGGATTGTAAAAAAAAATAGTAGCCCATGGACACCTGCAACCAATTTCAAACAAATGAGGTTACAAAAACGTCTCCTGAAAGACTGAGATGAAATGACTTGTAGTCAGTGCCGCTGCTAAGTTGAAGAAACAGATGACAAAATTCTGTCAACTCAGATCCCAGACCATACCTAGGCATAATACGAGCCATACTATCTGGTGTAGTGTTTTCAACGAGACATTAGATAATTAAATGACAAACTGATTTATTTTTCAGCATATCAATGTACGTTGAGAGGTGACACTCTCGCAATGGTTACACAATACACGAGCGACCCGAGTTCGATCCCCGCTGGCACCAATGACATTGTTAATTGCAATTTTTAGTGCTGATTTACTACGTGCTTGACGGTGATGGAAAACATCGTGAGGAAACCTGCATGACTGTGGAGTAAAAATATTTCTAAGGCTTACAGTCCGCCAGCACGCCCTAGAGCAGCGCGGCGCACTAATTTGTCCATAACCCTTATCTGGATCCCTATCTGGAGTCAGATTGGATACGTACAACTCTCTTATCTATGCTGTTGGTTGCAACCATATATTGAAATTTGAAAAAATGGGAATAGAATTATTTTCATTATTGAAATGCAACCACTAGCTAATAAAATAACTAACAATATGGTCAAAATTCGCATCTGTCCGACATTCGATTATATTATTGGTTATATCGTTTTATATGGAAAGACCACGTGTGTCTGTTCATTTTATTTTACCTACCTTAACGGCAACATACGTATTTTTTTCTGTAATTCTATGGCACAGTATTTTTTGAGTGATAAAAGTTTTACTCGCTTCTTTTTTAGGGTTCCGTAGTCAACTAGGAACCCTTATAGTTTCGCCATGTCTGTCTGTCCGTCAGTCCGTCCTCGCTTAATCTCTGTGACCGTTAGCACTAGAAAGCTGAAATTTGGTACCAATATGTGTATAAATCACGCCGACAAAGTGGTAAAATAAAAATTGGAAAAAAATGTTTTATTAGGGTAGCCCCCCTATATGTAAAGTGGGAAGTGATTTTTTTTTCTAATTTCAACCCTAACGTGTGATATATTATTGGAAAGGTATTTAAAAATGAATAGGGGTTTACTAACATTTTTGATAATGTCAATAATTTCGGAAATAATCGCTCCAAAAGTAAAAAACAATGTGTCCCCCCCCTCTAACTTTTGAACCATAAGTTTAGAAAATATGAAAAAAATCTGAAAAGTGGAACTTTGTAAGGATTTTCTAGGAAAATCATTTTGAACTTGGATGGAAACAACAGTACCCACTAAGGGGAGCAGTTGCAGGAGCGCGGAGCACTGCTGGAGCGCGAACATAATGAATACCCACCTTTAAACTCATAAGTGGGAACACTTATTGTGACGGACAAGAAACTACGGAACCCTACACTGAGCGTGGCCCCACATGCTCTTGGCCGGTTTTTTTAATAAATATGTACGACAATATTTGAAGTTCTCGCATTAATATAATTAAAATGGTGATTGATGTAAAAATAACTAAGTTCATTGTATATTTCTCAGGGCTGAATCTGGCAGTAATATAATTCTAGTAATTAAGTCCGTATCTGGTAAAAGCCTAATGAATTCTTGTACTAAGAACCATCACCAGTTACTGGTGTACGAAATTGGGGAAACGTTTGGAGGCTATTGGGCTGCACTACCTGATTCTGTAATGCGACAAGAAGTAAACAATTTTACGGAATTGTATACTTTAAAAGCTACTAAACCAACCACAACTACTATGGATTACAGGTACGTGTTAAGCGTTGTATATATAAGGTACTTGCGGGCCTGTCGGCTAATAAGGCCTGTCGGCTAATAAGGCCTAAGTAACAAAATCGTACTTATTACACGATAGTGACTTTACAAGCTTGAAGAGACGTGCTACCCCGCGTCCTTCCACCAAAGTTGCATTATATATTATGCGATATGACCGCACTGCACCAGTAATAATTTTTATTATTACAAATAAATCTTGGATAAGATAAGACACTTAGCTATCTAAAATCGTAATTTTTATCTTTGTAAAGAAGTGCTTTTTTTGATCTTGAAGATTTAAATAACGTATCGTCGTCAAAATATTTTTTATTTGGTTTTTATTCTATACTTGGTCGGCGGTTAATTTTTATAGAATAAGGCTGACAAATGAGTACACACTCTACCTGATGGTAAGTGGATGCTATGGCCCATAGACATCTACATTTATCCTCGATTAATAATCAAAACAAAGATGCGTTGTCACCCCTGAGAACTAAGATGGAATGCCTCGTTTGCAGTAAAATAGGGTCTCCGGATCTCTACACTCACCATACGAAACACTGCAGTATTAAGCTGCTATTTTACGATGATGAGAGAGTGATCGAGCCGACCCATTCGTGCTACAACCTTAATGTAGCTGCAGCGTAGCTGCAGCGTAGCTCTACCACGTATACAGGTAAGGCCTACTAAATTTCACCACAGGCCTCATTATATACTCCCTCTTCGTGTGAAGTTTTTTTGTTTTAAAAAGTATTTTATATCACTTTCAAAAACTTATAAATGCAAATGGATCGTACGCTTTTATTACTAAACTTATGTCGTAGTCAGAAAACGACCTGGTTTCTGCTGTCCAAACAGTGCAAAGATAAAGTGTGTCGAAGAATCAAGTCTTTGACATTAGAAGCTATTAAATTATGTGTAAATTATTTGTCCTGCGCCTAAGCTCTGTCGGATCGTGTTTGATTGCAATTTCATGATTGATGATTGATAACGAACGAGGCTCTTGTATTTATTCGAAAATGCTGAAATCTCATAAAATAGCAATGGACAGTGGCTTAACCAGTGCGAACGTATCAGCACTAAGCTCATCTTTTCAGTACGTTGAGTATGGATGAATCTAGAATTTTAGAATTCACGTCATTTGACGTGATCTTGAAAAGATCTACGAGGAGAATTAAAAGGCTAGTAAATGTCTATCTTATGCGCCCTCCTAACTAACGAACGAGGCTCTTGTATTTATTCGAAAATTCTGAAATCTCATAAAATAGCAATGGACAGTGGCTTAACCAGTGCGAACGTATCAGCATTACGCTCATCTTTTCAGTACGTTGAGTATAGATGAATCTAGAATTTTAGAAACCACGTCATTTGATGTTTCTTGAAAAGATCTATGAGGAGAATTAAAAGGCTAGTAAATGTTTATCTGCCTTAAATATCAAGATGATGGTAAAAGATAAAAAGGCAATTCCTTAACCTTTAATGAAATAAGCTTAGCATCGTTTAGTACTCGATGAATAAGTGGCGTGTGGTAATGATAAGATACGAATGTTTGTTTCTCTAAATTCATTCACATCAGCAAAGTGCCAGGCGTCCGTGGACAACTACAAGCAAAAAATATTCATTTAGATGAAATTGAACTGAATCAAGGAAATAATTATGCTTCCCTTGTGGATTAAATAGAGAACAAGAAATTAATAAAATATAATCAAATATCTTAATTTTAGTTAGTTATACGGTATTCGATGATAATAACGATGATGATGTTCACCTAGCCGAATTAGAGCACGGACGGCAAACATTTCATAATATTATTGTTGTCAAGATGTAAGATCGGAAGAAGGCTCGCAAATATCAGAGACTAAATGGTTACAACAATATGTTCACTTTGACCAATTATTTATGTTTCTGCACAAATGTTGATTTTTGCTTGGATTAGGACTAAGACATATATTAATTTCACACAAGTATTTAAATATTCAGATGTTTAGTAAAAACTCTTCGTACTCGTCTAGCGAACGTAAGAGTCCATCAACACATCTTGTCTACAAGTAAACATAGTTTTCATTGCGATAATAGTGAAGATGATGGATGTGTTTTATATTAAATATACCTCATTTTAAGTTCTGAAAACGAAAACGACGATACATTCGAACCGTTAACGGAAAAGGTAAAGTTAACAGAAAATACAAACAGCGCTACTAACGGTGATTATATTCGAGTAGAAGTACCATTAGTTAATGTTTCTGGAAAGTTCTCAATTGACGAATTTCAACCACAAAATATTGACGAAATATTTGATATAAATAATGACCTCACACCAAGGTACGGTATTATAATATTATATTTCATTAATAACTTAAAAATTTTGAATGTTAATATACCATATACTTTCGAAGGGAAGGAGTCATTTATGATACAAGCATATTACCTATAGTACAATTCTCAATATCAGCGCCAAAAGGCAGTTTACATAATGAAATTACTACTGAAGACATGAAATTCATATTGGGTTACCGATCTGGAATCTATACGCCGGATTCCCGGTAATTTTCATTTATTTTATATCACAATTATTATTTATGTATTAAAAGATTATATTAAATACAATATATTTTATAGACTTATATTTCAAACTAAAAATCAAAGAAGGCAATTCCGAAATAGAAACAGAGGTTTTGCAAACCGTCGACTTAATTTCAAAAAAAAGTTATCGACATTGATATCTATAAGTAAAACCACTTCGTATAGGAATAAGTACGTACTCATCTATTTGAATATCGCTTAAGTTTTAAGCTAAGTAAGTTAAAATTCCAGCAATTTTCTCACTTTGCAGATTTTTCCAGACGCCTATATCACCGATGCTTGTAAAACCATACATGTCAACAGCAGACACATCATCAAAAATGACAGTTCAACGGAATGATACTGCACTCGATTTTAACGATTTAATTAGTGAACATATTACTAAACCTCCAGAGATTAGTAATAAAGTGTTCAAATCCTTCAGCCACACAACTCTTTCTCGTAAAATTCCAAATTTTCTTTTACAGAGTATCTTAGACGAACATAATACAAGCGGTGGGTATTTTGCAAGCATTAATCGGTTATATGAGCTGTGATAGCTAACCCCTCGCTGCAAATTTTACATTACACCCGGGTTCGATGGGGAACAAACCGTTTTCCCAACCCACGGCCCCCGCCGGTATCAATAAAATTTTCAATTGCAATTGTACGTGCTAGTTTACCACGTACTCGAGAAATAAGAAAAAAAAAATATTTCAAAGACATGTGAAGTTCGCCGACACGCATTCGGGCAGCGCGTCGTGTATAATCCCGCCCTAAAATCCTGTCAGAATAAGAGGATGCCTGTGCCCAGCAGTGGGACGTACATAGGCTGTAACTTTAATTTTAACTAATTGGTTATATATGTGATGTTAAAAATATGGCGTACAAAAAGTGCTTTGTAGTGGAAGCGTAAGAATATGCACTCCCCTATATCATCCCGTGGGAGTCGTTTGAGGGAAAACAAAACAGGAGATAAGCAGCAGCAGATTGCTGATAAGTTAAAATAATAAAAAACAGCGTCTGTGAACCCGCCTGCCAATCGTAGCAACTACGGAAAATTAAAAATAAATTGTGAAAATTTATTTAACGTTCTTTTTTATCAAAGAGAAGCGCCAAAGTTTGCTCCTTGTAATGTTATATTGTAATTTTTTTTATTCTTCCAGTATATTTACTTCCAAATTTGTCTGCTAATAACGCAAGTCTTACGAAATATGCGAACATAGAGAATATAACAAATTTAACATCAAAAATCTCAAAGGCGAGGTAACTTTTTTACATCACTAGTATCCCACAAATTTTATAAGTGTTGCTACTTATTTAAATGTTCGATTACTTTTTAGCTTAAACGGTGTAGCTAGATTGACAGAAATTACGAAAAGCTCACAGACAAATACAACGAAAATATTATCCACAAGTCCCAGTGAAACGACCTCTAGGGAAATTTCAGTGAACAGTGACTTTAAATTCCAAGAAAATAATTCGAACATCAGCACCTCTACAAATAGAAGCTCGGTTTTAAATGTAGATATATATAAAAGAATTGAAGGTACGACGCTGAATTATGCGTGTTATTTTTGCAATATTAGAAAAAGTAGAACACGTAATAAATTTTAAAAAATGAATTGTTTTGCGTAACGATGGAAATGGTCTATCGTCCAATTTTAACTGTCCACAAATTACAATGCCATTATTGTGCGCACAAAACCGCCAACATAATAGCACTCACATGCTATAAACTATCTTGTACCAAATTTAACGCTCTTGCCTTAAGAAGAAGATGAAGTGTCAGGCCAACAAAGACAATTACAACTACGTAACATAATCACATACAAATAATAACATTTTCTTTTTCTACACAAAGTGTTGTAATTCGTAGCTACACCCGCGAATTCGTTGACACATTTATCTGATCCACGCGCGGTCATTTTATAATTTATTTTTCATATAACAATTGAATCCTTGTAATTTGATTTGATCAAATGCATTTATGAGATAAAATAACTAACATGAATAATGTAGGCTTAATATTTGTAACCCAAACAATTGAAGCTTTAATTTTATCCAAATATTTAAAAAATAATACATTTCTACAATGAGTTGTCTATACTCACCCTTAGCGATCGGACGGTGGTGGATGATAGTCGCTACCAAGTTGATGAACACAGAACGGATGGTAATATCGTTCTCTTCAAAAATTTTTGCGATTTTGCGTCGTCATTTGGTCTTCAGAGCCTCGAGAGTTATTCAGCGGGGTGTCTCGCGTGGTTACGAGATCAAATTTCAATGACTGCTTTAAATTAAAGGGGATCTCCCTTGCAAACCTTTTTATTTTTCCTAATCTTTGTATATTATTTCTAAAGTAAAAGTAACTGTTTACATTTTTGTTCCACTGATAGACACAGACCTAATTACTAAGAGGGTTTTGAGGTAGGGAAGAGTCCGCCGCGCAGCAGCAATGTGTGACTGTACGAGTGATATTTTTTATTTCCTCAGACATGGAGGTTTCCTCACCATGTTTTCTTTTACCACCATGTTAAAGTAGCAAGCTTCTGATTAGGTTTGCATCTGTTGTTTCTTATTATATCTATGGGATGAAATGGGATGTGGATATTCTTCATCATCATCATTACAGCCCTTCACAAGTCCACTGCTGAACATAGGCCTCCCCCAAGTAACGCCACAAAGCACGGTCCTGAGCTACCTGCATCCATCGACTTCCTGCATGTCTTAACACTATCGTCACTCTATCTAGTGGAGGGTCGCCCTACACTACGCCTACCAGTACGAGGCTGCCACTCGAGAACCTTTCTTCCCCATCGGTTATCGGTTCTTCGAGCTATATGGCCGGCCCATTGCCACTTCAGCTTACTAATCCGTTGGGCTATGTCGGTCACTCTGGTTTTACTGCGAATATCCTCATTTCTGAGTCTATCACGCAGAGAAACTCCGAGCATAGCCCTCTCCATAGCTCGCTGAGCGCCCTTGAGCGTCCTCATACGGCCAGCAGTGAAGGACCACGTCTCTGATCCGTAAGTCATCACTGGCAACACGCACTGGTTGTACACTTTAGTTTACAGAGATTGAGGTATACCTGACGAGAAGGTGTGTCGTAATTTCCCGAACGCTGCCCAGCCGAGTTGAATCCGTCGATTGACCTCTCGGTCGAAGTTGGACTTACCTAGTCGGACTATTTGTCCCAGGTAAACGTACTCATCAACAACTTCGAGCATAGTGCTCCCAATAACTACCGGCATAGGTGAGACATGGACATTAAACATGATCTTTGTTTGGTCCATGTTCATCTTAAAACCTATCCGTTGGGAGACACCATTGAGGTCATTGAGCATAGTGCTAAGGTCCTCCAGCGATTCTGCTATAAGGATTATATCGTCGGCAAATCGAAGGTGAGTGATGTACTAGTGTTGCGTTGTTGTTGCTACTGTGCCTAGTTTTGCGTTGAAGTCTCCCATCAACACCGTGTAGTGGGTTTTGGAGGAATGCATGGCTCTAGAAATATCCTCATACATTACCTCCACCTCCTCATCGGGATGTGCCGAGGTTGGTGCGTAGACCTGTATGACCTTCAGCGAATACCGTTTGGTGATTCTGAGTATCAGGTACGCGACCTTCGTCGACACACTCTCAATCTTTACAACGTTGTTGACGAGAGACTTGTGGACGATAAATCCGACAACTCCTTGGGACAGATGGTCGCCCACCCGGTGATAGAACAAGTTGCCGGACTCGAGGATTACCGTGTCCTCCCCCTCTCTTCAGACCTCAGATAATCCAATAATATGCCAGCGCAACTTGTCTACCTCTTCTTCCAGCTCCAGTATCTTCTCGTCAGTCCACAGGGTGCGTGCGTTATACGTTGCCAGGTCGAGTCGTCGTAGGTGGCAACTGAACCTCCAGCGGAGATTCTTAGCACCCCCTGCCCCGCCGTTACCATGGGCGCCACTGTAGCCAGGAATAGCGGGGCCGCCGGGGACTGGGGGCCGTTTATTTGCGTCGTTGCTCATGGGGGGGATATTTGCCATAGTTGCCACGCTTGGCGAGCGGGTTGGCAACCACAGTTTTTTATTATGTCATTGTTGTTATTAGGAAGATGCTGCTGCCCATCTCCTTTCTGTGTCTCTCTGTCGTCTTTTACGACACCCATATTCTTACGTTGGTATTATTCAGAAAGCGTGTGTGCAAACAGCAAACTTGATTTGCTCGGATGTCGGGTATTATAAAATTTAAGATGATCACTTTTGGTACTACAGCTGTGCACTGTATCATTTTATGCTTTCAGTCAAAATAATTTCAATTTCTTTTTGTTTCTAATTTTAAACTAGTCTTATCGAATACTGTAGAATGTTTCTTTTTCAGATTTACATAATTCCACTAAAACTAGAACTACAGAAAACTTAAGGAATTATTCCATTATTATACTAAACGAAGTTACTAATAGTACGAAGATGAGTAAGAAGTAAAGTCTTTATAATAAAATTATTATTGAAGTAATACTAGTTTTTACGGAATTTATTGCGTATATTTAACTTTTTAAATACCCGACGTTTCGAGAGCTTTACAGCCCCCAACTACCGGTTACCATAATTAAAATTTAACTTTTGTTCCGTCTACACAGTATGAACTTATGGTTAAAACAAGCATACAACTGCAAGACTTCATGATACCATTGGGTTGGGATATCCCAACCCAAGCATACAACTGCAAGACTTCATACCATAAGTTCATACTGTGTAGATCGGAACAAAAGTTAAATTTTAATCTATGGTAACCGCGGTTAACAATGACATCTGAATGTTGAACATCTCAGTCCTTCCCGTGACCATGGGTGCTGTAAAGCTCTCGAAACATCGGGTATTTAAAAAGTTAAATATACGCGATAAATTCCGTAAAAACTAGTATTATTTCAATGCGTAGTGTTCGCGTAAATATAAGAAAAAATTATAATTACTAAATATTTGCTTATAAATAGTGTCATTAATAGTTGGAAATAGGCGTTGCTTTAAGGAAATCCATTATATATTGAAGATGTAAGAAAACGTTTTTAGCTGAGCTTAGCTTGTTCATATTTAACATCTTTAATATAAATAACGTCGTTTTGTGTTTTTATTTAAAAGCCAGTGCTTTGTCACTTACTAGGCTAGAACTCGCGCACTCAAAAGCTTTACCTTAGACACTCTCAATGGGTAGGCTCGACCGGGGAAGGACCACGCTCTCACAGAATATCAGCGTAAAATAGCAGCTTAATACTGCTATGTTTCGCATGGTGAGTGTGAAGATCCGGAGACCCTTTTTTACTGGAAAAGGGCATTCCATCTTAGTCCTCAGGGGTGACAACGTATCTGCGTTTTGATTATTAATCGAGGATAAATGTTGGTGTCCATGGACCACAGCATCCACTTACCATCAGGTGGACTGTGTGCTCGTTTGTCACCCTTATTTTATTTAAAAAAAAACAATTACGATTATTGTTAAATGTCATGGAACTATATTACTAGCGTATGGAACAGACACCCCGAACCAAAACTTTGCTTAATTTTGGTAAGAGTTAGAACCAAAGTTCTAAAATAATAGTTACATCGTCTAATCAAACTATTAAAACATGCAGCGCTAGTTTGCATTAGGGATTAGTTTACTCGCGACCAAAACGTCATAAGCGCCAGGAATTTCATGGCGCTTACGCGTATCGTTCAACGTAGTGTGCTTGTACAAGTAGCTCCCATAGATTTTACATTTTGCCCGATTCTTGTAAGCATTGTAACAACGCAAAAAACTTTAAATCAAAGAGTTTTGAACGTTTTAATGTCTACTTACCGATGAAATGTTAAACCATTTTTTTTGATGTTCTGAAGTGTTTACTGCAGTCTTTAAGAACACAACCAGGCATTTTTAAGTTGTTATTTATGCGAAGCGAACACGAGCCGTGGTAGCTCAGTGGTTAACGCTCGCTGTAAATATAACAGAACGCGAGTAACCCGGGTTCGATCCCCACCGGCACCAATGAAATTGTTAATTGCAATTTTAAGTGCTGATTTACCACGTGCTCGGCGGTGAAGGAAAACATCGTGAGGAAACCTGCATGTCTGAGGAATAAGAAAAAAATATTTTGAAGACATGTGAAGTTCGTCAACACGCATTCGGGCAGCGCGGCGGACACTTCCTTGCCCTAAACCCTTTCAGAAATGAGGGGAGGCCTGAGCCCAGCAGTGGGACGTATATAGGCTGTAACTTTACTTTACTTTTTAACACGACTCGTCTGTGCGGGCGTTGGACACTCACTAAACACTAAACAGTTGCGGTACAGTGTAAGTGTAACGCAAAGAGTGGCGCAAAATCATGCAAGGCGTTGTCTTCTCTATACGTTGTAGTAATACCTCAATGTTAAATGTATACTTATAAACTAACGCTTACTTACAGTACAAAAATAGTAACTGGTTCGATGGTTAATCACGAATCATGGGAGAATATTGTTCAAGCTGCACCAGTGATGGCTATTCTTTTAAATAAAACATTACCTGAGGATAACACTGAAAGTGCAGATAATACATTTAGAAAAGAATTAAACAGTACAGTGAAAGTAGGAACAGAGTAAGTATTATTAGAAATATTTAATAAACTTTTTATATAATATTTTAATTGCTAAGTAATTAAACGCTTATTATTCTACACGGTAATTACATCTTTAATTTTATTTAAATGTTTAAGTTTTTAAGTATTTTTATGCTAAGAAACCAGAGGGTTTCTTGTAATGAAATGGCGGTATATCCATTCCAAAATATTGAAGAGCCATGCTCCAGCTATATTATTCACGTGCTAGAACCATGTTGCGGTATAGTTGTAGCCACTCTTATCTAGGGTTGTAGCACGAATGGATCGGCTCAACGGGGCTAGGACAGTGGCGGCGCAAGACCTAAATTTTGTGTGGCAAGATACATTTTGCGAGGCCCTCCGCCCGCGCAAGAAGACGGATTATATAAAATGAAAAACACTTGACATTATGAAATTTTTATTCATACAAAATCATTAAGTACCAACACCAAACAAATTCAACGAAGAATGAAGAAATAGATATTCTGCTTTTTATCCTGCTGAACTGTTTAATTATAGCCTTATAATATAGCTTGGATGTTATATCTGCCTCGATAGATAAAAATTTTCAACGCTGAAAGTCTTTTCTGTGACATTGCATTCCTGAGATAATTTTTAATGAGTTTTAATTTTAAGAAGCTTCCTTCAACGGAGGCTGTACTGATCGGTATTGTTAAATGACGATGTAAATGTTTGGGTATATTTTTTTAATTTTTTTTCTGTAACGTGTAGGAGAAGCTGTTTCACATCTGTTACGAAGTTAGGTAAATTAAGGATCATTAATTGTAATTCTTCATGTAATTCGTAAGTTTGTAAGTCACTGCTTTCACCCACTCGCAGGGCTGTGTGTAATATGTGGGCTTGGAATATTTTTTAACTTGTTTAAATCATAAAGGAAACCAAAATTTTCATAATGTTGGTTTAAAGCCATAAATCTTAAATCCATATTTGTTATAATTGAACAAGTATGGTGTTGAAAAAATCTGTTTCGTACCAGCTTTTAGGAGACTGTATACTCGTAGGTTAATCTTTGTCTTCATAATTCAACATCTTTTTGTTTTCGGTTCCTCTTTTATTTTAAAGTCTTTTGGCAGATCATAACAGTATTTTCAATAAACTGTTGAGCACCAGACAAGCATTTTTCGCAACAAGTTTGTCGATATTCTTTAATCCAGTCACAAAATGTACGTAAACGTTCTAGAGCTTTAATTTGTCTTCATCTATAGTAACAAACCTACCAAAACAAGTAACAATTTTGCAAGTTCTTAAGAAGCATCGTGTCTGTTCAGTTTATCTACTCATGTGCGTACAGCGCGAAAATATACCTACTATAGCCACGTAGGCTGCTGTGCCGCACTGTTTACTCAATTGCCACGCGCCCACGATTAAATAAAGTCAGTATTCTATGTCTAACAAACAGAACGGGGAATCCTCAGCTTTTGTTGCCTCCATAGATTACTGTATATATACTGGTCCCTATTATTCACCTGTATTCCCCGCAATAGTAACGTAAACTAATGTTGACAGACTGAATAAAAACATATTTAGTTATATCAATAATATTGATTCATGACAATGAAATTTTTTCGGCGCGTTTACGGTTTTAAGTAATGCAAAACCTCCAGGGCGCGAGGCCCCCTGGATCGCGAGGCCGTAGGCGGTGGCCCACGTCGCCCACGCCTTACGCCGCCTCTGGCTAGGACCATGCTCTCACTGAATACCAGCGTCAAATAACAGCTTAACGCTGCTGTGCTTTGTATGTGTGGTGGATGTAGAGAACCGGAGACACTTTTTACTGAAATGAATACACTTCTGACATAAAAGAAGTAACATGAATAATGCAGGCTTAATATTTGTTATACATTTTTTTAGGTTTTAAGTTTAATCAAAAATTTAATAAAAACACATTTCTACAAAAACTTGTCTATACTCCCCTTACCCTTAGCGGTCGGATGGTGGTTGATGGTAGTCGGTACCAAGTTGGTGAGAAAAGAATGGATGCCGTTGCCCTGGTAATGTTGCTATTTTCAACACTCTGTGGAGCCTCGAAACGAGACATTCCAACGCATGTGCAACGCAATAAAAATAAATGTAGATGGCCTGTGTGCTCGTTTGTGACCCTATTTCTATAAAAAAACAGGCTGCAGCGTCTTCCTAAAAATTTCTAGATAATGAAGAAAACTGCGGTTGCCAGCCGGCCTGCCAGCGTGGTAACTGTGGCAAATATTTCCTTTAGGAGCCAATATATGGGGAGGCCTAAGTTCATCAGTGGTATTTGATAGGAATTAATAAAATGAATGAATAAAAACAAAATATAATTGATATCATTAATTGGCTATCAACGTTTACTACAACGTATTACTTTTCCCTACAGGGTAAAGTAACGCCTGGATTTTAATGTAAAACCTATCCTTAACAGCACATTCTGTCCATCTTCTATAAATCGCAGGCCTTCGCAGAATGCGGCCATGCGACTTGTAGTTTGCTAACTATTCTTTACATAAACGTGTATGTAAAATACTTTTATAATTTTTTAGATATCTTCGTAAGAAGCGGTACATACAACCATTAGAAATAAATAATGCGCGTCCTCGAGTTTTCACCCCTACGAGACCTTACAATTCTTCTAATAAAAGTGTTGATAACTTGGTGGATATGCAAGATATAGCCCACTTAGTAGAAATGAAAAATGATGAGGTTTGCTTCATTTTTAGCAAGTTTTTAATAAGTCACTTGCTGGTTTATCTGTCTGTCTGTTCCGGGTGGAATCTTGCCGCTCAAATTTCGAGCACTTCCTGATTAGCTAGAGACTTGAGGTTTGGAACATACCCTAGCTTAGAATCGGGTGACAATGTACAATAAAAAATACTTATATAAAAAACGAGCTTTACATCAAAGATTAAGTAAATAAATAAATAAAATACGTGCTGTATTTTTTTGTACAATTTTTTTACATCGGTTATTTCTCAGGTCTTGACGTACAGCAGTTCGAAAGTTCGAAAAAGAAAAGAGCGACACACTATCAGTGTATATATTTTCACGAAACATTTCGTGCTATTTTCGATCCCCTATAAATCAAAAACTATTAGACCTACGTAGTTGCAATTTTATGTCTAAAGAAGTCATCTTCAGCACCTATATGATCAGAAATTTTATGAATAAATCTAATCAATGTAGTTCTGAAGTTATCAATGACTGAAAAGTGCTATTTTTATCTCTCAGTGGCTCACTCTTCAAAAACTTCTAGATGATTTAGAAACTTGAATTATTTATCAAATTAGATCATTGTTTTTGTTTTTTTTTTATAACGCTACCCCATCATAAAGCGTTTGAAAAAGAAGAGAAAACTAAAATTTTTAGACAGATAGTAGATACTCGATTTCGACACTGTTAGCGATTAGAGTAAAATACTAAGTAAGTAAATTAATAATTTAATTCTTATACTTAGTTTAAATTTAAAATAAAACGAATAACATCAAATACTTAAATGTGAGAAGGATCTATATATTAAACGTTTCACGTTTTTGGAATTTTATGGAAATTGGCTCCCGTTGAGATTTCAATCCTTAAAATATCTAATAGTTGGTAATACGCCTGAAAGTTAGAAGATATGTTCTTGATAGGATAATGTTTTTTTTTATTTTAATTCGTGCATGTCTATTAACTAAGATAAATCACTTCTTTTCTTAATATTATAAACAAGTGCTTGTCTTATTTCCCTCCAACGGAATTTAAAAAAACTAGAGGAAGTTGCAAAATATGCAGTATATTTTGGCCTTATGATTTGAATTACGAAGCCAAAATTTACTTTGCAAGCTCATAAAGAATAAAGATATAATTATGTACCTATAGTATGTTGATATATAATAATAATCTGGTACTTTAGAATAATCCCGTCAACCTCTCAACGCTATTTTAATTCATTTATTTACTGACTTTAAAAAGGAGGAGGTATTCAATTCGACTGTTATTTTTACCTCATAACTTTTATCTGGATGAACTGATTTTGATGATTTTTTCTGAAAGCTGGTGCTTCCCGTTTGGCCCTATATAATCAAGATCTGACCAGTGGTTTTTGAGTTATCCTTAAATAATGCGTATTTAATTCACTTCGAATACATTGCTTCAGTCGTATTGAAGTCGGTTGTACAAAATTTTTAATTTTACTACTTGTAGTTAAAAATTATATCAATATAATGTATATATTGCAAAATTGGTGTAATATTTTATTTTTATTTGGTTCATGAACCTATAATCTTTATAAAAACTTATAAAAGTTACAAACGAATTCTTGTTCTGATTTCTAAATTGGGGTTAATCTTGTAACTTAGGATGTTAATATCTTCCCATACCCTTTTGCAATAACAAATTTTAACACAGTTATTTTTTCCATAGACGTACTAGAGATATATAATTTTTGTATTTATAGATTACTGTTTGTTTTTTTTTAAGATGGATGGTCATGTAGCCCTTCGATACATGCGAAATTACGTTGGACCAGTATTATTCAACATTTGCGACTACAAGGAGTTACAAACTCGTCGCGTTTACCTCTTCAATACTTCGCGAATCGTTATTGCGATCAGCAACTTTACGGTTTGTAAATATTTTTAATTGTTATAATATTTAACGCTAAGACTTCATCAAAAGGTTAACTGTAGGGTTGAAATGTGATGGATTCGTAAAAAGTTCTACCCGCATCTGGTAGTTTTTGTCGTTTTTTAATGTTTCTGGGGTTACGATGACAAAAGAGCTTAATAAATTAAAGAACACACGATGTAACAACACTTCTAAGAAAACAGCTCAGTAGGTACGTTTAAATTCGTTGGTAGTTACGCTATCAATAATAATTAAATAATAGTTTTAAAAAAAACTAAAGAAACAAACTAAAGATAAAATCGTTTTATTTTTTATACCTACCAGGGTAAAGTTAAATTATTAAAATATTATATACTATATGTTATATTTCATTATTATCCTTAATACAAGTGAAGTTTTCAAGTCAATCGGCCGCCATACTATACCTTCACAATTCTTGTATATATATAATCGGAATCTCGGAAACGGCTCCAACGATTTTCATAAAATTTTGTGTCCAGGGAGTTTCGGGGTCAATAAATCGATCTAGCTAGGATTTATTTCTCGAAAATGTTTTTTTGTCCGTCTTTTCAGGCAATGAAAAACTGCCACAATATAAGAAGGTAAATTTTAACATTCAGTTAATGATTGTAATAATAGCTCAAGTGGTTATCGAGCGGCGGCGAAATCTAAATGCCTTGGTTCGCGTCCCGTCTTCGGTCCGGTTTTTTTTCCTTTTTTTAAAGTTACCTTCTTTTGTTAGTAAATCTATTATTTCGAGCACTTTTTTAGCATTTTTTAAAAATACGAAAATTTTAGTTAAACTAATTGCACTCATGATTTTTTATTCAAATAAACAGTTCAGTTTTTCTATTATGTCAATAAGATCAAAAATATTATTCATCAGTATGTAATTTGTATCTAAATGTAATTTCAAAAGAAAAACCGAGCAAAGCTCGGTCATCCGGGTACTAGATATATTAATATATAGTATATAAATACACTGTATACCAGGGAGTCTACACGTTGGTGAAAATTATCTACATTTTTTTATAGGGTTGGGTGACAAACGAGCACAAAGTCCACCTGATGGTAAGTGGTTACTGTGGCCCATAGACATCCATATCTATCCTCGATTAAAAATCAAAAGGCAGATGCGTTGTCGCCCGTGAGGACTGAGATGGAATGCCTCGTTTCCAGTAAAAAGGGTCTCTGGTTCTCTACACTCACCATACGAAACACAGCAGCATTAAGCTACTATTTCACGCTGGTATTCTGTGAGAGCGTGATCCTTCCCCGGTCGAGCCTACCCATTCATGCTACAATTATACTACTAATATAACTGCAGCATGGCTCTACCACTCTGAAAAATTAAAAGATTCTGTTGCATATCTGTTAGATAGATAGATTATAAAAGCGTGTTAAAGGTAAAACAAAGATCCGCCCCGTACCGAAACCATTAGTATAATGAATTTCATTTTTACATCTGATATACTACGTATTCAGCAGTGAAATCTACACTTCCGGATAATAGAAAACGATATTTCAAAAACGTACGTACACTGAGGCACTGGAACAGTGCGGCGGACTGCATCGTAATAACAGCCATAGGAGTCAATATAAGAAGCCCTATTCTCAGCTGCGGGATGTTTGTAGGCTGATATCGTCCTTAATTCCCGAAAGCTTTGATTTTAAACAGATGTAATTTTTAATTATACCACAGAGAATAATTTTTCTACAAATTGACAACTAGGCTATTAATTACATTATTTTGGTCACAGAATACATATTTTGGTGTTCTGTTGTGTACAACTGAACATAAAAGTGGGTAAACTATGGTAATTAATCATTTTGTAGTTAGTTTCTTAAATATTGAGTGGAATACTTGTGCTTACATCGAGCCACGCTGTTGTCTTATTACCTATTGATGTAAGTAGTTATAATACTGGAGATTTAAGAAATATCTATTCCTAAGTATAAAATTATTATCAGTATAAAATTGAATAATTAGATGGTTTGCACTATACGTTTCTCATGAGACTTGTATAAGATATGATTCAGTTACTAACTTCCCATATGAAGTTGTTACAACAAGTACGATTATTTAAAGTTCAAATTACAACATTCATCTTCACGTTTTGAGGTCTCAATGCCCTAGCAGAATTGCTAATGGATGTGTATGTGCGTTCGATCCGAAGTTTTTTAATTAGCTAGTTAAGAAAACTCTAACTTGCAAACAATCAATGAAAAGTTAAGACCGTCAGATTGACTTGTTCCATACTCCATTATTCCATCTTTTATAGTTAGAAAAAATGACGTTGATAATGACACCAGCACGTACCTTGAGGGACAAAGAAAAAAGCTGCCCAGAAGCCCATCTCGAGTGTCAAATATCCGGCGCTCGTGTTTGCATCGACTCTCTGAGCGCTTGTGACGGAATCCCCAACTGCGGATCTTACGGTAGGCACTTCTATGTCTTTATTTTTATCAAAAATCATCTTTCATTCTTATATTTACTTTCTAATCCAGTCTTTTGATACCTAATACTTTTTTTTAGTAAATACTAATATTTTGTATTAAAGAAAATTTTTAATCCTAGAAAGACAAATTTTCAAAGACAAGTCAAAATTATAGCTTTTTTTATTGAAGGGTAACAAACATGCATACTTGATGGTAAGTGGTTGCTATGCTCAGTAGACCCCACATCCATCCTCAACTGAGAATCATAACGCAGAAACGTTGTTACCCCTGAAGACTAAGATAAAGTTACGAATAATAAGGTTCACCAGTTCTGATCTCTCGCCATATGAAACACAGCAGCGTTATAATATTTTATACTGGTATTCTGTAAACCTTTTTAGAAGTGAGAGGAGGCCTGTGCCCAGCGGTGGGACGTATATAGGCTGTAACTTTAATTTTAACATTATTCTGTGAGAAGCAATGTCATTACAAGTCGTGTCGCCTTCCTGCAGCCGCTCTACCATTTTGATTACATCCAATTTTGAACTATTATTTTAAAATCCAATTTTATTCAAGCGACAGTAGCCTTATGGTTAAGTATAATGACCGTAAACTATAAAAAATTCTTGGGTTCAAATCCATCATTCGACTACGGTCGAGGACTACTCCTATAAAAACAAGCATATTAACTTTATCTGCAATGGTTAATGAGAATAACTATTAATAATGTTCATCCATCCATCCAAAACCTATAAAAGTCTACTGAAAATAGCTCGCCCGCATGGATTACCTTATAGGAGGGACTTGCCATAGTTACCACAGTTTGGCAGCAGGCTGGCCACCGCAGTATTTTATTGTCTTGAGTTGTAGTCAGGATGATGCTGCTGCCCATCACCTGTCTTAGTTTCCCTCTGTCGCTTGTTACAACACCCATATGGGGCATATAGTATGGGGCATATATATGGGGCATATATATGGGGCATATATATGGAGCATATATATAGGGCATATATATAGGGCATATATATAGGGCATATATATAGGGCATATATATGAGGCATATATATGGGGCATATATATAGGGCATATATATAGGGCATATATATAGGGGCATATATATATATATGGGGCATATATATAGGAATATATGGGATATATGGGCATATATATAGGGCATATATAGGGCATATATATAGGGCATATATATAGGGGATATATATAGGGCATATACATAGGGCATAATATAGGCATATATATAGGGCATATATATAGGGCAATATATAGAAAAAGGCATATATATGAGGCATATATATAAATAAAGGGCATATATATAGGGCAAAGGCATACATATAGGGCATATATATGGGGCATATATATAGGGCATATATATATGAGGCATATATATGGGGCATATATAGGGCATATATATAGGGCATATATATAGGGCATATATATAGGGCATACATATAGGGCATATATATGAGGCATATATATATAGGGCATATATATAGCATATATATATAGGCATATATATAGGACATATATATAGGGCATATATATGGGCATTATATATGGGGCATATATAGGGCATATATATAGGGCATATATAGGGCATATATATAGGGCATATATATATAGGGCATATATATGGGGCATATATATAGGACATATATATAGGGCATATATATGAGGCATATATATGGGGCATATATATAGGGCATATATATAGGGCATATATATAGGGCATATATATAGGGCATATATATAGGGCATATATATAGGGCATATATATGAGGCATATATATAGGGCATATATATAGGCATATATATAGGGCATATATATAGGGCATATATATAGGGCATATATATGGGGCATATATATAGGGCATATATATAGGGCATATATATGAGGCATATATATGGGGCATATATAGGGCATATATATAGGGCATATATATAGGAATATATATAGATATATATAGATATGCATATATGAGCATATATATATAGGGGCATATATATAGGCATATATATAGGGCATATATATGGGGCATATATATGGGGCATATATATGGGGCATATATATGGGGCATATATATAGGGCATATATATAGGGCATATATATGAGGCATATATAAGGGGCATATATATAGGGCATATATATAGGGCATATATATAGTATATATATATAGGGCATATATATAGGGCATATATAGGGCATATATATATATATATATATAGGGCATATATATAGGGCATATATATAGGACATATATATAGGTATATATATGAGGCATATATATGGGGCATATATATGGGGCATATATATAAGGCAATATATATAAGCATATATATGGCATATATATGGGGCATATATATAGGGCATATATATAGGCACATATATGGGGATATATATGGGGCATATATATATGGCATATATATAGGGCATATATATAGTACATATATATACATATATATAGGGCATATATATGGGCATATATATAGGGCATATATATAGGGCATATATAGGGCATATATATGGGCATATATATGGGGCATATATATATAACGCAATATATAGGCATATATATAGGGGCATATATAGGGGCATATATATAGGGCATATATATAGGGAATATATATAGGGGCATAATATAGCACATATATAAGATACATATATAGATAGGCATACATATAGGGCATATATATGGGCATATATATAAAGTAAGGCGCATATATAGGGCATATATATAGGGGCATATATATAGGCATATATATGAGGCATATATGGGCATATATATAGGCATATATATAGGCATATATAGGCATATATATAGCATATATATAGGGCATATATATAGGGCATATATAGGATAAGGCATATATATAGGGCATACATATAGAGCATATATATAGCACATACACATATAGGGCAACATATGATTAATAGAGCATATATATGGGGCAATATATGGGGCATATATAGTTAGCATATATATAGGGCATATATATAGCATGATATATGGGAATATATATAAGTATATATATGGGCATATATATGGGGCATATAAGGTATAACATAGGCATATATATAGGCATATATATGAGGCATATATATAAGTATATATATAGGCAATATAGCATATATAGGACATATATATGTCATATAGTGGGCATATATATAGAAGCATATATAATGGTATATATATATATACAGCATATATATAAGCACATATATAGCATATATATAGGGCATATATATAGGGCATATATATAGGGCATATATATAGGGCATATATAGGCATATATATGAGGCATATATATGGGGCATACATATATAGGCATATATATAGGGCATATATATATAAGGACATATATAGGGGCATATATATAGGCATATATAGGGCATAAGGGCATATATGGGCATATATAGGCATATATATGGGGCATATATATATGGCATATATATAGGGCATATATATATAGGGCATATATATAGGGCATATATATAGGGCATATATATAGGCATAAGGGCATATATATGATGGCATATATATAGGGCATATATATAAGAGGCATATATATGGGGCATATATATGGGGCATATATATACATATAAGGGCATATATATAGGGCATATATATAGGGGCATATATATAGTCATATATATGGGGCATATATATGGGGCATATATATATAGGACATATATATGGGGCATATATATGAGGGCATATATATAGGGCATATATATGGGCATATATATAGGGCATATATAGGGCATATATATAGAGGCATATATATGGGGCATATATATGGGGCATATATATGGGGACATATATAGGGCATATATATGAGGCATATATATGGGGCATATATATGGGGCATATATATGGGGCATATATATATGGGGCATATATATAGGGCATATATATAGGGCATATATCTATGCGTCATATATATGGGGCATATATATAGGGCATATATATGGGGCGTATATATAGGGCATATATATAGGGCATATATATGAGGCATATATATGGGGCATATATATGGGGCATATATATAGGGCATATATATGGGGCATATATATAGGGCATATATATAGGGCATATATATGGGGCAATGGATATTTTTACACCGTCACTAGACGGTAATAACGTTACTAGTAGGTATCCCTTTTATTTAAAAAAAATTATTACCACATACCTTGTCGTCACGCTTAGCTGATGATTTAGCAATCACAACACGTCACACTTCCTAAGGCGTTGTTGCTTACCGACTTATGTCTGTGTATTTTAGTTCTGCTAATTTCTGTCTGATAGCCAATGTCAGTCGTTGTTTTGAGAATTTTAAGTATTTTCCTTAGTTGATACCAATAAAACTTGATTTTCCCGTTTGTGCCAAAGTTTTCAAACTTTGTAGATTTTGAAATAATTAAAATTATAAACAAATAATAAATCGGTACAGTTATTTGTGGAATAGGAATAAGTGGGATAAATTATCAGTTTAGATTTATTAAATTCATTGTTTTTTTATTAAATTCATTAATTTTATTAAGTTTTTGCCATCTCAACATAAGTGTTACTCGTGTTTTTGTAGACATTTACGACGAAGACCGCCTGATGTGCGGAGAACCCTCCGGTCTCCAGCACAACGTGTACCTTGCTGCATGTACATTTCTGGCCTTACTCCTCACTCTGCTATACACAGTTCATTATTGGTTAAAGCGCTGCGTGCCACGAGTTTCTGAAGCTTTTTTCATCTACACCGATCGATCTGAAAATATGTTAGTTTTTTTAAATACAAGATTTATTAGAACGGGAGCAGTAAAATGTGAAAAAACTATGTTAAGTCTCGTGCAGGAATCATTAGCATTATGAATTGTGTTTCTACATCTGATATACTACATATTCAGCAGGGAGAACTACACGTCCGGAAACGGGAGAACTACACGTGCTTCAGGAAGCACGTAAAGCCTATACGTGGTAGAGCCATGCTGCAGTTATATAAGTAGTATAGTTGTAGTACGGATGGGTCTCGACCGGGGAAAGACCACGCTTTCACAGAATACCAGCGTATAATAGTAGCTTAATGCTACTGTGTTTGGTATGGTGAGTGTAGAGAACCGGAGACACTTTTACTGGAAACGAGGCATTCCATCTTAATCCTCACGGGTGAGGACGCATCTGCATTTTGAATAATTATCGAGGATAGATATAAATGTCTATGGGCCATAGCAACCACTTACCATCAGGTGGACTGTGTGCTCGTTTGTCACCCTATCCTATAAAAAAAGCCTTTGGTTCTTTGTCTGATCTCTTCCTGTCGAGTCGTTTTGTCGTCTCAACGGACTAAAAGTGAGGGAAGAGAGAGTGCATCTGTGTTTGTTCTGTGCAGAGATGGCTAGACTCTGTTAAGCTTGGCCGCCGTGACGAAAATTGTCTGGTCTGGAGGACATTATTTTGTATATCGTTTTTCAAGTTTTAGTTGAAAATATAATAAGTCTTATAATTTATAGAATCTATTTTATCGTATGGATGTTCAACAAGCAATCACGGAAAATATGCGATAGATAGATCTCATGGCTTCCGGTAGGCGGCGGTACGACATCTCGTATATGCTCGATACCAAATACATGGATTGGAAGCATACGAAGCAGCGTCGAAAGTGTACTATGTTCCTAATGCAACCAAATGTTCTTGAATAATTCTGCTAAAGGTTACATCTTTCTAGTTAGTAATTAGAAGCAGATTATCTTCGGATATTAATGTTGTTGAGCTTTAAGCCGTAACTTCATAATCATACAATAACCATTCTAAACCCGCTTGGTAATATTATAAATTACACCAAGATTTACATAACTTGAACGGGAATTAAAAAAATTAAGTGCCCCCCGTGACCATAGATGCTGTAAAGTGAAGCTGTAAATCCGTAAAATCAGCCATTAATTGCGTTGTATAATAATAAACGCATTAATCCATCGTACCTAATATTTCCCAAAATAGTCATGTTTATATTTATATAGTAATAATGTTCTTTTAGTTTAAATCTGGAGACCATCATGAGAAGTCCAAATGATGACGAAGATGATTCCAAGATAATATACGGTGGCCACTTTTTTGAAGACGATGAATTAGATATAGATAATGACGATAAATTCAATCAGAATTTTTTCAAAAAAGTATGGAAATTATGTTTAGGCATTTGCTTAAAGAATCAACCGAAAAAGGATGAAGACGAAGAAACTTCTGCGGTTCGCCCACCACCAAAGCGAATATCTTCTTTCGCGGAGTTAGAATTAAGCAAGATAGGACCTAAAAGAGCCTTTGATGTATATGTGCAAACTGAGAACAGTTCAGAACACGCTTTTATTAATAAAATAAAGATTCAAAATATGGAATGCAAAGAATTATTTCACACAGATGAGAACGAAAAACTAAAAAAAGACAAAAATGCAATAAAGCGAAAACACACAGATGAGTTGAATATTTTAAAGTTTATGAAGGAATCGCGATCCGATTCTATACAGTCTGATCCAGTAAATGAAGGCTCTAAACTTCTAAATAGTTTTAATAAGAATTTGCAGTTAGAACATGATGACGAAAAGGAATTATTAAGTACTATATATGAACCTCAAAGTTCTGGTTCGCGTAAGATTAATTCCGCTAAAGTTATAACGCGCTCTGATGTAAATTCGGAGAAGAAACCAACCGTTCAAAAACATTTGCGTTTTGACGAAGCAGCAACTACAATACCTTCTGTTAATACTGATGAAGAAATCTTAGACGGAGATGAGAAATACAGAAAACCACATGTGGTTCTTGGTACTGAGAAATTACGCTATTCAGGTACCATGAACAAGCTTGAGCAACAGGGTTTTAGTTCTGGGAGAGAATTTATGCGTTTTTGGAGCGGAAACAAAGTTAAGAAATCTAAAAAGAAGAAGAATGTAACTACACATTAATGTAAAATTACCATTAATTTTATGAAAATAATTATTGTAGTTAAAATAAACAAAAATTTGTTTTAGTTTTAAATATAAATTTATTTGAATTGGCTTTATTTATTAATTTAACTAGGTACCTAACTAATTATTTTGTTTGTTATTTTAATTCCTATTGTTCATATAATTCAAAATCAGCAAAAGGAAAATCTAAAAAAAGCATTTTAGTGCAATTTTAGTGAATTTATCTTTATTATGTATGGCCACCACCGTATGGTGTGTGTGGAAACGTTAGAAAATCTGTTATACATTCCATATGGCAGATGGCGTCTTTATAGTATTCTATGCTTATAGATCTTGTACAACCGGATACAAATACTTTTAACGGTAAGAACAGAATCAAAATGGTACGAAACATCTTATACCACTTTATCCTATCCTCCAATCAAGCGTGGCGTGGCTCTTTCAGGGCTGTTTAGAAAAAGTAAAAAAATATTGTCCGGTTTCAGCTGTGACGGTTTTAGACAGTGAAAAAAGGAACATAATATTTTGGATTACGATGTTGTTAATACCTATTGGCGCAAAAACAAAGTTGCTAATTTGTCCTAACTTTTCCGTGCCCGTGTAATTTTTTTTTAAAAGAATATTAACAATGCAATCAACATTACTAATATTACCCTTAACCACTCGTGGTAAGCTTAAATTGCTTGTGTTACGAGTGGTTCACGCCAGTGGTCGAATGGTGCTTTCGAACCCACGACCTTTTTGAGTTCGCGGTCCGCGCCCTGCCATTAGGCTACTGTCGCTTTAAACACACTCATGTCACTTAAACTTACATTTTTATTGATTGGAGAAAGAATATAAATCCAGAAACAAAAACCAACATATTATCTGTTCCCATACGTAAAATTCTACAACGAAGTGATCGCTACATATGAAATCAATGAATTACATTAAGATATTGCACAAGTAAGTTTACATAAGAGAGGACAATCTCACAAGCCACTTAATTCATTGATTCAGAAAGGTCTTTCACTGTTGACACAGAATCCTATACCTTTCAACGAGCAATTCTTGTATATATATATATATATAATTTAAAAAAAAGAATATTAACAATGCTATAAACATTACTAATATACCCCTTAACCACTCGTGGTAAGCTTGTGTTACGAGTGGTTCACGCCAGTAGTTGAATGGCGGGTTCGAACCCACGACCTTTTTGAGTTCGCGGTCCGCGTCCTGCCATTAGGCTACTGTCGCTTTTTTGCGATTATATATATAGTCGGAATCTCGGAAACGGCTCCAACAATTTTCATAAAATTTAGTGTCCAGGGAGTTTCGGGGGCAATAAATTGATCTAGCTAGGATTTATTTTTAGAAAATGTCTTTTTGTCCGTGTTTTCAGGCAATTAAAAACTGCTACAATATAAGAAGGCAAATTTTGACACTGTGTTAATGATCATAATAGCTCAGGTAGATATCGAGTCGCTAAATCTTAATGCCTTGGTTCACGTCCTGTCTTCGCTCCGAATTTTTTTCTTTTTTTTCAAGTTCCCTTCTTTTGTGAGAAAATCTATAATTTCGAGCCCTTTTTTAGTATTTTTTAAAAATACGAAAATTTTAATTAATTTTTTTTCTATTATGTCAATAAGATCAAAAATATTATTCATCAGTACGTAATTTGTATCTAAATGTAATTTCAAAAAAAGTCGGTCATCCGGGTACTTAGCGATAATAATAAAAGTTAGACAGAAGATGTGGGCTTTTTATTTGCTAATTTTGTAGACTTAATTCTGGAGAAGTGGAAAAATAGTTGTTTTTTTAATGAAAATTAAGTATGATTTATTAGCGCTAAATTTAAAAAAAACTTTGTATTTTTACTGCTGATTTTGACATAACTATGAGGATAAAACTATATTTAACGGATTTTATCGCGTTTAATTAACCATTTTAACTAATTTAATTAGGACGTTTTTTAATTTCAATAACCTCGCGGTTCATCCTTGGTAGGAATCGGTGTTCTTTAGCGAGTATTTGTGGTTTATAAAATCTGATGTAATGGTAGGGACGATCTTGAACATGTTCACAGACTACATACATCACAGAGCGTCGGTGCTCCACGTCAGCTATATGTTCTTTCACGCGGGTTTTTATAGATCTTTTTGTTTGACCTATGTAAGAGAGACCACATTCACAATCTAACACCTTAGTCCCCCGCCGTGACCTTGGGTGCTGTAAAGCATCCGACACACCGGGAATTAAAAAAGAAGGTAAAATAGTTAATTAAACGCGATAAAATCTGTTCAACATAGTTTTATTCAATGTGTAGTCTTCATTAACAGTAACTATGAGGCTTTGATTGTGGTCCCTCAATCTTTATATACAGCGCGTTATTTTTGATAGTTCTCGACGTGTCTATAATAAACATATTATATACGTGAATGCTGTTGAAGAGAGATGAATGAAATAACACAATAATTTAGTACGTAATTCCACTATATATAAAAGGGCACTATATGTAAAAAGGCATTACGAAATTCCATTTACGACCGGCATTAAACACACTAGTGCAATGCTCTTTGCCAAATTATCTGGCAGTAGAGCTGTTTAGAGTCGCCAAAGTGGTCGGAAAAAATGTTTGCTGGTCTACACCGCCTCCACAGGTAAAACCATATGGCTCTCTGTGCATGCAGATAAAAAGAAAGAGGAGTAGTTTGCTTCTCTTTTTGCTGACAGTAGCAACAGGATACTACCTCAATTACCTCGCTGGAGTACCTCTATGTTAAAGCATAGCTAGAACAGTACGGGTTTTGTAAAAATCGGTTTGGACCTGGAGACCTTTTAGCGTATGCTACTCAGAGATAGGACTTGGCCCTCGAGAACAGTGTGGAAGCACTAGCTGTTTCCATTGATATCTCGAAGGTCCCTGACAGCGTTTGGAACGCTACCTTTTGGGCAAGCTTCCAATTAACGGTTTATTCCCTTGCGTGATTGACTGGTAAAGTACTTTCTGAGTGAACGGTCTCTCTGAGTTACCGTCGATTGTGGCTCGTCCGACAACGTCCGTATCCATTCTATCCATAATTTTCTTATTGCTAATCAATAATCTTGTTATATCTATGTTGTATCTATGTTATGCGGGCGACAATACAACTGTGGAGAGGTACAAGCCGTATGTTTGAATCAATCGGGATCAAATCTAGTCCGAAAAGGAAGCTATGGGTGAGCGTGCGAACATCTCACTGCAGGCTGGTCCGAGATCATTACGTTATTGTTGATGCCGATCTTGTGAAATTCAACGCCTTCAAATCACAATCGTGTCTCTTCATCGTTAAAAGAAGCTCGCTTACTCTGACTCTTATTGTCAGGGGTGTATATTTGGTGTACAATGATTGGGGTTTGAGATTTCTCTAAACCTCAACTATGGGCGGTTCATTTCGTACAGAGAAAAGGAACTGCTAGGAAGTTATTTGTCTTGGCAAGGGCTCGGCGCCACTTAATGCCTGGGTAGATTTCTACCTTATATAAAGTGCAAGTTCGGTCGTGCATGGTGTACCATTGTCACATAAAAGCTGGTGCTGCAAAATGCCACCTGGCAGCATTGGACTTAGTAAAGACGTGGCAAGAGGTTTTGTTGTTGAAACCAATTTTGTCAGCCTTGAGCACAGGCGCAGAATTGTCAGCCGCTCGGTATTCTATAGGGTGCATTTCAGAGTGAAGCGAATCAGAGGAATTCCTCCCTTCCAAATTGCCGATATTATACACGTTCAAATCATATCGTTTGCTCTGTCTTTCTTAATGTGTACTATAAAAAAGTGGAATAATTTGCCGCCATAGAAATAGTAATAATGAGACAATAGAAATGAATTAGCGCTCGATTATTTCCAAAACCGATGTCGCCACCTACAGCCGCATTATAAACATACGCAATGCAAAATGATATCCAATGTTTCACATTACATTGCTTGGCGAGTTTGTCAACGTCGCGTGCGTCGCGTATTACGGTAGAACAAAAGCAGCAATGGTAATTGTCAATACAAAAAGTAATAAATGAAAGTTTACAAAGGTAAATATCATAGCAAAGTATTCATCGAACTTACTAATAATGATCAACCTATGAAATTTTATGCTTTTGTTAGTTGAATTACACGTCCTTTATGAGTTTTACTACTTTTTTTTTTATTAATCCACCAACATGCATTTAATTAACCTTATATGTTAATTAAATACAATGAAGCCATAAGAACTAAAATGTACAAATAATTACAGGCGGATACAACATGCAAATAACTTTCTCAGCACTGTGTACCTATATTTCTAGGATAAAGAAAGATTTAAAAAAAACGATAACAAAATACAGTACTGAAAATATATCGAAGCGAAAAGGAAAGAACATATTTTATAGAATATTACAAAAGATGGTCTCTTAAGGTGCGACGGAGCTTGTTAGGAGGGTCGAAAAATATATCAATTTTATCTTTAAATTTTTTAACAAGTTTACTCATTCTAGCAATTGGATTTTTCTTACTATTATGCTGCAGTTCACTATTATAATAACATAAATTCACGTACGACGTTCCCCGCGCAACTAAATCACGAAATAGTGAATTATGTTCGTCAACACATAATAGCGTAGACAAGGGCACGCGTCTAATGCGACTTACTTTGTCTTATTACCACGATTGCTGTGTAAATCTAGCGTCAGCAAAGTTCTCAGACAAACAAAACGTTCTACATATATTTAAATGAGAGTTATTTGAAAGTTCCTTGACTTTTTGGTGTATAGGGTGACCATAAATAGTTTAAATTAATGTAATAACCAAACAAATAGACATGATAATAAATTCACTATGTCCGTATCACCATTTATTTAAAGGCTTTATGACAATATGGAAGAAGGTTTACCTTTTCGTGAAGACTACCCTTCACGAAAAATATAAGAATGTAGGAATATTCCTGCTCATGTGTTTCAATCTCTCCTTGTAACTTTTATAGACTTTTTATAGTTTCCAGTATTA